GTTGAAATCGGACTAAAATTGAGGCCGCTTTTCATATAACGGTAAATTTCAGAAATGCTTGAAATTTCAATATTTCGAAATTTAAGGACGCTAATTTACTTAAAATGTATACAGCCCGGCTTATCATGTAGCGGTAGCTTTCGGAAAGGAGGAAAACATATATTTGATACTTGCGCCGGGTATTTAATGTTCGGCTCCGCCCGAACTTAGACTTTCTTACTTGTTATTTTATCAAACTAATACCGATGACTTTTTTAAGTCTTATTTATGTATTGTTTATGTATTCTAGTTGTTGAAAAGTTTTTTTTTGTAATCTATAAAATAATAATTTTACTGAACCTAGTTCATAATTACTTTTGTTTAAGAGTTAATCAAATAATAAAATAATATCTAGGACGTAATTTTTTTATTTTAGCTTTACAAAAATATAAGAGCCCAAAAGCAGTTTTCTGATTAAAAATAATTTTTATGACATAAAAAAGTCATCAGTATCAGTTTGATAAAATAAAAATCATAATTTCATACATTTGCAACTTTAAGTTTGAATATCTTCAGAACGGCTCACTCTGTAAAAAAAATTAATTTGAACTTTTTTGTAGAGCGTTCAATTTTCTACCAAAATAATTTTTCAGTTCATTTTTACAATGCTTATATGTCAAGCTACAAAAATAAGAAAAACTAAACATTTTTTTCCCATGTTATTTATATGTGAAATGGAAAGTTAGGAACAGGCACCACTTAATGATAATATTAAGAGCTCAAATTTTTAGAGGCTCTTTTTTTCACATTTTTGAAAGGTTTTAGCCTGTTTTTAGTTGAAAAAAAAAAGTTGCTCAAAAATGACACAGCCTAGTGTGTGTGGTATGTTTGGTACATACGCACATTAACGTATGCATACTCAAATGTGAACATTCATATATGTGCGTACTAAATTTTTGTATGAAAATATTATTTTTAAATACGAAAATTTTTAAACGAAAATCGAATATAAAGTATTAATTTTTACTATGCATTATTTCCCTCAGTGTAGGTATACAAAAAGTGTGCACTAAAGCGTCCGAAAATTAATACAATAAAGAAGACTACACTTTTGGAAATAAATTTTTAATGTAAAGATAACTACGAAAAATAAAGCGGGAACTAAAATTTTGTTTGTTTTTCAAACTAAATACTTTTACTAAAATCTACCAAAACGAGAAAAAATTTACCTCTTTACTAACGGAAATTTTTTCTACCAATTTTGGTAATAATTTACCAAAGTGGCAACCTTGCCCCAGATCCTGAGACAGACTCAGTTATCTCAGTGCTCAGTGCTGGAATTAAACCAGCATTCAGCCTCAGGGAACTCAGCATTATAGAATCTCTTCAAAAAATGTAATGGTGGCGTACTATCCTGTGGCATTGAATAGCCACAAATGCTCAAATCTCTGCCGCCAGCAATTTGCGCCTCGCCCACTGAGAGTTATACCAACATCCGTTTCTTTTTAGTCTGCAGTTGGCTTTTAAGGCGTCCACACCTCAGAAGTCCAGAAGTGCGTCAAAAGCACTATACGCCACTCAAAAACCTTTAAGTTAAATATAGAGGCTACCAAGCAACCATAAGATTAATTTTCGCGGACCCTCACTTACAACTCGTGCACCCCAATATATTTTTCATGACAACGTAGACCCCCCGTCGAGTCTCTCGTGGACCCCTGGGGGCCCACTTGGACCACTTTGGGAATCACTGCTCTAGATGTACCGCAGAAATGCTCGGGACCATACATGCGCGTTTTGGCTCCACGTTTTGCGAGATAGTCAGCCCTTTCGCTGCCTTCAAACCCTTCATGCCCAAGGACCCACCACAGCGTAACTCTATTATGGGCTCCCAGGCTGTTCAGAAGAGTTTTACAAGCCTTGATGTCGTTCTAAATGAGTATAAGGCCCTAAGTGCTGCCTGACTATCCGACATAATATTTATTCTGGCCCCGTTTGTCCTTATCCGAAGACATTCTCGAACACAGACTTCGATTGCGGAACCATAGTTAAAGTTAAATTGTGAAAGTACGCGGCTATATTGTGTTAAAGAAAAAAAGGAATAAGCAGCAAGGAACGGTGTATCCATAGCGGTTCCGCAAATATACCGCCAGACGTCAAGCGGATCCTCAGTGATACTCGAAAGCTCCAATAGGTAAGTAAACGTGTATATTTAGCTCCAAATGGCAACTCATCTCTCCGTATGCACATACATACATGCCAACTTATGCAGGCCCTAAAGCCCTCATGTGTATATGCGCATACCTACATACTAAGTGCTAACTAGCGAGAGCGCCGCAGTGATTGGAAAAGGACCTCGACTTGTATGGGATTACTTTTGAACGCGGATGTAACATCCGTATCAGAGTCAACAGCGTATAAGGAGCGTTAGATACGCACATACACACACAAATATTCTGCCTTGAACCGAGAATATCCACCAGCCTATAGATGCGCACAAAAATCGTTCGCGCAAACTGTATCTGGCACCCAACGGCCACCAAAAACGAGTAAACCTTCCGCCGCCTACGTAAGCCAAAACAAAGATATTCTTGTTTTGCATTGGAGTCAGCGACTACGTATTGACATAAAAATATCAGGAACAATCGACGTGGGAGGATAGCCAGCGGCTGGTGAGCGGGCAGAATAAACGGAGAGCAGTGCCAACGATACCAGCAGCGCCAGGAACAGAGCCGGAAGAGGAACACCCTTAGGTTTAGGACATTTTGTTTAGTTCACATAAGATTTGAGTTATGATTTTTTTTTTGTACTTGAAAGTCTCTCGGTAATTTGCATCACCCATGAATTTAAACTAAATTGTTCTTCAATTAGTATTAGCATAGGTACTTACTAATTATTCCCTCCTTTTCCTTATTATTGGTTCAATTCATATGTTCCGATTCCACCACATCCGCCTATATTGGTCCGGTAAGTTTTTGCTTTCCATTTGCTTTGTATTTGT